ATTCCGTGGGGTTGTATCAACCACTCCCTACTTCTAACAATAATTATGAATTCACTGCAATCGTCCTTGCAATCACTTTCCGCCAAACTAATATGAAAGCTTGGGAAGTATAGTTGAAGAACACGGCTCTACCACTTCACTTCAATCTCCACTCCAATCAAATAGATATGCTAGCACTACGCTTTTCATCATATTCTACAAAGAGCGACAGCTCTGTCTTAAACAGCTATGAGATGGCTCTTACCTTAAGAAACAAAAGTGACATAGTGCCAACTTGCGCTTTTGTCCTGGTGCTCATTAGAAGACTCGCCGAAAAAAATGTACATACAATAGCTCACTTTGAATTTATTTTAGGTTGTTCAGAGTAGAGGTTTGTTTGATTTTTTATTAGCTTCAATTTTGGTAATGATATTTGTAAAAACTCATAGTTTTTGATTTATTTATAAAAACCGCCTTAACACATGTATTTTTATCACGAAAATTACCAACCTTTGATTTTTAATAACTCGGGAAGTATTGATTTATTCTAAAAACTTTAAACAAATTTTGCTGAAAATCTGTCTCACTATCGATTCCTGGAGTTGTTTTTATTAAAATAATTTTCACCCCTGAGTATGGGTGGCATCTACCCCAGGGCAAAAGCGCAAGTTGGCAATATGTCACTTTTGTTTCTTAAGGTATCCTCCACCTACTCACCAATTTTCATGAAAATCGATGGAGATTCAATGAAATCGGAGGTGAAAACCTTCATTGACTAGACGTGAACTCTTTCGTCATCCAGCAAGGACGTGAACTCTCTTGTTATTTAGGAGGGACGTGAACTCTTTCGTCATCCAGGAAGGATATTAACTCTTTCGTTACCCTGGAAGGCCGTGATCTCTTTCGTCATCCAGGAAGGACGTGAACTCTTTCGTCATCCAGGAAGGACGTGAACTCTTTCGTCATCCAGGAAGGACGTGAACTCTTTCGTCATCCAGGAAGGACGTGAACTCTTTCGTCATCCAGGAAGGACGTGAACTCTTTCGTCATCCAGGAAGGACGTGAACTCTTGTGTCATCCAGGAAGGACGTGCACTCTCTCCTCATCCAGGAAGGACATGAACTCTTTCGTCATCCAGGAAGGACGTGAACTCTTTCGTCATCCAGCAAGGACGTGAACTCTTTCGTCACCCAGCAAGGACGTGAACTCTTTCGTCATCCAGCAAGGACGTGAACTCTTTCGTCATCCAGGAAGGACGTGAACTCTTTCGTCATCCAGGAAGGACGTGAACTCTTTCGTCATCCAGCAAGGACGTGAACTCTTTCGTCACCCAGCAAGGACGTGAACTCTTTCGTCATCCAGCAAGGACGTGAACTCTTTCGTCACCCAGCAAGGACGTGAACTCTTTCGTCATCCAGCAAGGACGTGATCTCTTTCGTCATCCAGGAAGGACGTAAACTCTTTCGTCATCCAGGAAGGACGTGATCTCTTTCGTCATCCAGGAAGGACGTGAACTCTTTCGTCATCCAGGAAGGACGTGAACTCTTTCGTCATCCAGGAAGGACGTGAACTCTTTCGTCATCCAGGAAGGACGTGCACTCTCTCCTCATCCAGGAAGGACATGAACTCTTTCGTCATCCAGGAAGGACGTGAACTCTTTCGTCATCCAGCAAGGACGTGAACTCTTTCGTCACCCAGCAAGGACGTGAACTCTTTCGTCATCCAGCAAGGACGTGAACTCTTTCGTCATCCAGCAAGGACGTGAACTCTTTCGTTATCCAGGAAGGACGTGAACTCTTTCGTCATCCAGGAAGGACGTGAACTCTTTCGTCATCCAGGAAGGACGTGAACTCTTTAGTCATCCAGGAAGGACGTGCACTCTCTCCTCATCCAGGAAGGACATGAACTCTTTCGTCATCCAGGAAGGACGTGAACTCTTTCGTCATCCAGCAAGGACGTGAACTCTTTCGTCACCCAACAAGGACGTGAACTCTTTCGTCACCCAGCAAGGACGTGAACTCTTTCGTCACCCAGCAAGGACGTGAACTCTTTCGTCACCCAGCAAGGACGTGAACTCTTTCGTCACCCAGCAAGGACGTGAACTCTTTCGTCACCCAGCAAGGACGTGAACTCTTTCGTCACCCAGCAAGGACGTGAACTCTTTCGTCATCCAGCAAGGACGTGAACTCTTTCGTCACCCAGCAAGGACGTGAACTCTTTCGTCATCCAGCAAGGACGTGAACTCTTTCGTCATCCAGGAAGGACGTGAACTCTTTCGTCATCCAGGGAAGGACGTGAACTCTTTCGTCATCCAGCAAGGACGTGAACTCTTTCGTCATCCAGGAAGGACGTGAACTCTTTCGTCATCCAGGAAGGACGTGAACTCTTTCGTCATCCAGGAAGGACGTGAACTCTTTCGTCATCCAGGAAGGACGTGCACTCTCTCCTCATCCAGGAAGGACATGAACTCTTTCGTCATCCAGGAAGGACGAGAACTCTTTCGTCATCCAGGAAGGACGTGAACTCTTTCGTCATCCAGGAAGGACGTGAACTCTTTCGTCATCCAGGAAGGACGTGCACTCTCTCCTCATCCAGGAAGGACATGAACTCTTTCGTCATCCAGCAAGGACGTGAACTCTTTCGTCACCCAACAAGGACGTGAACTCTTTCGTCACCCAGCAAGGACGTGAACTCTTTCGTCATCCAGCAAGGACGTGAACTCTTTCGTCACCCAGCAAGGACGTGAACTCTTTCGTCACCCAGCAAGGACGTGAACTCTTTCGTCACCCAGCAAGGACGTGAACTCTTTCGTCACCCAGCAAGGACGTGAACTCTTTCGTCATCCAGGAAGGACGTGCACTCTCTCCTCATCCAGGAAGGACATGAACTCTTTTGTCATCCAGCAAGGACGTGAACTCTTTCGTCATCCAGCAAGGACGTGAACTCTTTCGTCATCCAGGAAGGACGTGAACTCTTTCGTCATCCAGGAAGGACGTGAACTCTTTCGTCATCCAGGAAGGACGTGAACTCTTTCGTCATCCAGGAAGGACGTGCACTCTCTCCTCATCCAGGAAGGACATGAACTCTTTCGTCATCCAGGAAGGACGAGAACTCTTTCGTCATCCAGGAAGGACGTGAACTCTTTCGTCATCCAGGAAGGACGTGAACTCTTTCGTCATCCAGGAAGGACGTGCACTCTCTCCTCATCCAGGAAGGACATGAACTCTTTCGTCATCCAGCAAGGACGTGAACTCTTTCGTCACCCAACAAGGACGTGAACTCTTTCGTCACCCAGCAAGGACGTGAACTCTTTCGTCACCCAGCAAGGACGTGAACTCTTTCGTCATCCAGCAAGGACGTGAACTCTTTCGTCACCCAGCAAGGACGTGAACTCTTTCGTCACCCAGCAAGGACGTGAACTCTTTCGTCACCCAGCAAGGACGTGAACTCTTTCGTCATCCAGGAAGGACGTGCACTCTCTCCTCATCCAGGAAGGACATGAACTCTTTTGTCATCCAGCAAGGACGTGAACTCTTTCGTCATCCAGCAAGGACGTGAACTCTTTCGTCACCCAGCAAGGACGTGAACTCTTTCGTCACCCAGCAAGGACGTGAACTCTTTCGTCATCCAGGAAGGACGTGCACTCTCTCCTCATCCAGGAAGGACATGAACTCTTTCGTCATCCAGGAAGGACGTGAACTCTTTCGTCATCCAGCAAGGACGTGAACTCTTTCGTCACCCAACAAGGACGTGAACTCTTTCGTCACCCAGCAAGGACGTGAACTCTTTCGTCACCCAGCAAGGACGTGAACTCTTTCGTCACCCAGCAAGGACGTGAACTCTTTCGTCACCCAGCAAGGACGTGAACTCTTTCGTCATCCAGGAAGGACGTGCACTCTCTCCTCATCCAGGAAGGACATGAACTCTTTTGTCATCCAGCAAGGACGTGAACTCTTTCGTCATCCAGCAAGGACGTGAACTCTTTCGTCACCCAGCAAGGACGTGAACTCTTTCGTCATCCAGCAAGGACGTGAACTCTTTCGTCACCCAGGAAGGACGTGAACTCTTTCATCGTCCAGGAAGGACGTGAACTCTTTCGTCACCCAGGAAGGACGTGAACTCTTTCGTCACCCAGGAAGGACGTGAACTCTTTCGTCACCCAGGAAGGACGTGAACTCTTTCGTCACTCAGCAAGGACGTGAACTCTTTCGTCACTCAGCAAGGACGTGAACTCTTTCGTCACTCAGCAAGGACGTGAACGCTTTCGTCACCGAACAAGGACGTGAACTCTTTCGTCACCCAGGAAGGACGTGAACTCTTTCGTCACCCAGGAAGGACGTGAACTCTTTCGTCACCCAGGAAGGACGTGAACTCTTTCGTCACCCAGGAAGGACGTGAACTCTTTCGTCACCCAGGAAGGACGTGAACTCTTTCGTCACTCAGCAAGGACGTGAACTCTTTCGTCACCCAGGAAGGACGTGAACTCTTTCGTCACCCAGGAAGGACGTGAACTCTTTCGTCACTCAGCAAGGACGTGAACTCTTTCGTCACCCAACAAGGACGTGAACTCTTTCGTCATCCAGCAAGGACGTGAACTCTTTCGTCATCCAGCAAGGACGTGAACTCTTTCGTCATCCAGCAAGGACATGAACTCTTTCGTCGTCCAGGAAGGACGTGAACTCTTTCGTCGTCCAGGAAGGACGTGAACTCTTTCGTCGTCCAGGAAGGACGTGAACTCTTTCATCGTCCAGGAAGGACGTGAACTCTTTCGTCACCCAGGAAGGACGTGGACTCCACTTACACTTAACTACGTTTGCTGCGCCAAGGATAAAAAAAACCGTGAACTCTCTGGAAGGACCATGCAAGGGTGTGAAGTTTTCGCTGTGCTGTGTTTTCGAGGGAGAGCGGCGACAGAATTAAGTAAAACACATTTTTTTTTCAATATTTTCATAGTTTATTTAGAACTATTTTCCATGATTTTCGTTAACATACGTACACCAAAATCTTAAATCATTTTATGCCGACAATTTGGTGGTTCTTTTTAAATAATAAGAATGAATTCATTGGCATTAATAGGCTGTGATGATGATGAAGTTCATAATCACAATAAATATTATCAGTATGAATAAATAAGTCGTTAATAAGTTAATGGTTGGTTTCTTCCGGTGAGAATGGCGCCGCATCCACATCCGGTTCCGGTACAGTAGCAGTGACATCCGGCGACGTCGCCGCTGTCGCGTCCGTGGTGTACGCATCCTCACCGTACATTTCTAATAAGAAATAATACATTTTTATTCACGAAATGAGAACATTGTGGACTTCTCTCAAAATCTTCCATAAATATTAATAAATTAAATAAATTTATGTAAACACAATATACATTATAAATAATATTTCCGGTCTGCGCTCCTCATAAATGTCTCTGTGGCAGTGATATCGACAAGCTAGGATATCACGAACTGTCATGCTTAGATTAAAACAAAAAGGGTAGATACGGCACTAGCCTCACAAAAGTGATCCGCACAAATTGTGGTCCGAACGCCAAAAAGAAATATTGATAATATTTTGTGTTTATATGATAAAACAATGCCTATGTATGTTTTTAAAAAGTGATCAAATTGCTCTAGAACTAAAAATAAAACCCACAGCATCACTTTTCATTCGTAAGTACTATAAAATATATTTTTTCATAAAAATTGCTGTTTGTTTTGAATCTTATTCGGTAGTGACGTCGAGTACTGGTCGCGTGATTGGTCGGTAGTGCAGTGACGCGGATCTCGCCGTCTCGTTCGCGCTGCCGTTGAAACTTAACGTGCTGTTTCGTTCGGGTCGGTAATGCAGTGACGCGGATCTCGCCGTCCCGTTCGCCGCCGTGGGATCAGTTTTTGTTTGATGCAAGTATGAGCGTACCGTATCTACCCTTTTTGTTTTAATCTAAGCTGTCATGCTAAAAAAGTGCAGGCCACTTCTCGAGACATGCCGCACTTAGATATCATACGCCGGTCCCTTGCCACCGTCAACGTGCCAAGTCTACTTGAGCCGACTGGTATTGGAAGATACGATGGCAAGAGACCGGACGGTGTTGGAACTAAGAACAGAGCTGGTGCGGCTTGTGAAGCGGCTGAAAAAGTAAAAGCATGCAAATCTCATGCAAAAGCAAAAGCATGCAGGGGTCTAGGAGCTGGCAGCTACCTCGGACAAAGAATTAGTTTAGCTATTCAAAGGGGGAACGCTGGCAGTATCTTCGGAACCTTGCCTAAAGGGACTCCTTTTGATAATATATTTTAATTTATATTATATTTTTCAAGGTTTTTAGTTTTAGGTTCATTGTTCCTGTATATATTATTATATGTTATTAATAAAATACAATGAAAAGTTCTAATAATATTGTATAAAAACAAAATTACTTAAAAATGTATCCTCCGATTTCTCGCTACTGTGGCACTACGCAAAGAATGTGCCTGTGTGTATGTGAGTGCGTATGTGTAAGTGAGTCAAAAAAAAAAGTTTCTAAATAAGGTCTTGAAAAGGATTATAGTTTCGAAAAAAAACCTAACTGTCACACGAAATTAGTTGACAACAGACGTGTTCAATTTTAATGCAATAGCATGATTGAGACAAGGCGGGATTTTGCAAAAACCACGATCTTTTATTTTGCCATATAAAAAGTTGAATTTTTTGAAAATATTCTCGACAAGTGTTTCAAACTAATCTTGGTAAAACAGTACTTTCACGGCCCAAGATTCTCTATTAACGTTTTTTTTCTGGCGTTTCATCCGCCGCTGTCACTGCACGCTCGCTTTGCTCACTCGGCTCGCGCGTTATGGTCACAGTCACAGCACTAACCTAACCTAACCTAGAGTGAAGTATCACCTCTTGGGCCCAGGAAGTACAGTATATCCGTAAACTTTCGCGACAGAACTTTCGTAACGGTCAAATGAAATGAAAAAATTTTTTTTTTTTTTTTAGAAAATCAGATTAACTAAAAGGATTGTATGATGGTGTACCTAGTAATTAAGGAACTTTCCCAATGGTTGGTCATCAGATGGGAGATAAAAAACTTATCAATGCGAACTCTTTGTTGTATTAGAAACTTTTTTAATAGTCATGTTTTTTATGAAGAAATATATTTTTGTCACTTGACAGAGATGACGCGCAAAATGCAATGGTTTTATTTTAACAACTTTTACTTTATATTACTTATATTTAACACTCTTGTTGGTCCCGGCTGCATCTGCAGTCGTTAGCACCCATCAATCCGCACTGGGGCCGCGTGGCCCACGGCTAGGGTTACCAACTTTTTTTCTATCAAATATAGTATTTTCGAAGCTATTACCTCTAAAAATATAGAAGATGACAAAGAATGAAAAAGAAAATGCGGTTAAAATATTTACTTTATTTTTGAAATGAGTATAATTTTAGAGTAGGTACCTTAATACTTCAGTTTTTATTTTAAGAAAGCTTTTTCGGGCAAAAGTCAGCTTTAAGTAAAATATAGTAGTTTCACCTACTATTTTTTTTTAGAAATGTAGTTTTAGATCCCCTATTATAGTAGGATACTATATTATAGAGGAGCTCGATGGCGCCAGTGGTTAGCGCGTTCGGCTGCGGTTGTTGAAAGTTGAGCAACTTTCGCAGTGGTCGGTCATTGGATGGGTGACCAAAAATTTACTATTTCGAGCTCCTCCGTGCTTGGGAAGACGCGTTAAGCCGTTGGTTCCGGCTGCATCTGCAGTCGTTAGCACCCACCAACTGGGCCCGCGTGGTGGGTCATGGCCCAATCTCCCTATTCCATCCATAGGGAAGGCCTGTGCCCCAGCAGTGGGGACATTAATAGGCTGATGATGACTATATTATATAGAAGGGTTGGCAACCCTAGTCACGGCCCAATCTCCCTATTCCATCCGTAGGGAAGGCCTGTGTCCAGCAGTGGGGATTTTGATAGGCTGATGACGATGTTGTTATCTCACCAGGGCTGGGTGTCAGGTTGGAGTCGCATTTACACCGGCGCATCTCTTCCAGAATCCGCACTTCAGACGGTAGAAGGGTCCCCCTCGCTATACCCTCTTCCAAATCAGCTAGAGACGATAAAAGATAAATCTTTTGAACTATTTTATCTATACATCTATACTCTATACATATATATTTGTTTCTTAGGTTTTCACGCACATCACTCGTTAAATAAAACTAGTTTTTACGGGTTAATGCACGAAAACTTTATTTATTTATTGACGTTTCGTAGCCTTTACAAGCTAAGTCGTCAGAATAAAACTTTAATTTAATTTGTCGAGCTACCTTCGGAAGACTTTTATTGAGCGTTTGGTTATTTTATTGTTCGATTTTTAAGTTTTATTGTCTATGTATGAATTGATTATTTAATTTACTTAATAAAGTATTTTATTTAAAATTCTTGTTTGTAATTTTGAGTTTATTTATTTGACCCTAACTATATTCTGACGACGTAGCCTGTATAGGCTACGAAACGTCAATAAATAAATAAAGTTTTCGTGCATTAACCCGTAAAAACTAGCTCTATACATATAAATAAAATCGGAATGTCTTTTTCTAATATTGAAATAACCGCTTTTGACTACATTCATATGAATGCATATATGGTACATACACCAAAAATTTTTTTTTTACAATTTTTGTCTGTCTGTTTGTTCCGGCTAATCTCTGAAATGGATGGACCGATTTTGACGGGACTTTTATTGGCAGATAGCTGATGTAATAAGGAGTAACTTAGGCTACTTTTATTTTAGAAAAATCATTTTTTTATGAAAAAAAAACTTAAAGGTGACTCGGACGAAATCGCGGGCGGCCGCTAGTAAGGAATCAAATTTTATGATCTATATTGAATTATTGACATTTCACAACAAAAACACCACAGTGCAAGTGAAATTTTTAAAGTGTTTTACATCGCCTCAAATTTTAATACTTATTTGATGTTACCCTGGTTTATAAGAAAGGAAATTAAAAAAATCTTCTTCAACTGGGAACCTAACCCGTGCCAACCGCGTGGCAGGCCATTCTACCAGTGAAACTCCGATTTTTTTATAAACATATAATGCAAAATGTTAACTGTTCGGCACGCCGGGCTTTTTTTGAGTGTGTATGCTGTTGGTCGCAGATGACCTTTACAGAGTCACCGGGTTTGTGGACGGCGAGATCCTAAGGGCACCTCAAGCCGAGAATTGGCGAGTGCCTCTAGAGGTATGCCAGGCGGATGGCATCTCCCCACGGGGGGAGTCTCCTCTCCGTCTGGAGCCTCTAGACCACTCGAAGCTGAGGGGGTCGACTCAACTAGAGGGCGTCTCTAAGACTCGGACCTCGGCTCTAGTTCGCCGTTGTCGTGGTGGGTAGCCGGGCAGTTGCAGTAGCGATGAGTTACCGACCAGGAGCTGTACTCTCTTTCTCCGAAACGAAATTTCGGCAACGAACGAATTTTAAACGAAATTTCGCCAGTGACTCTACTCTATTTCATCTTCGAACACGTACATAAAGTTCGGAATCACAGACAATTATCGTGAACGAGTGGAATGAGTTATGTTTGTGAATTCTTTTTGTCTACACTTTTTAGATAACGTTTTTTACTTCAAAATAATATTACTTTATGACAATAATTTTTGATTACACTAAAACAACATCTTTTGACTGTGTTAGCCTACTAATTTATAGAGTTTTTGCAATCGAATGTATGTCAACCTAAATTTGTCGTGTAATACTTTGAAGTATTGACAATACAATAATAAACAAAATTTGATTTATTTGTAATTAATGTTCCTCACGCTAAGCAGCCTTAATAGGGAAGATGCATATATAATATTTGTGAAAATTTTATGATTAAAATGTTAAATAAATATAAAAGAAATGCCACTGCAACGTTTTTATTTTACATAATGTTGTTTTTTAACAATTATTACGAATTAAAAATACTTGAAACGGAACGTATTTTAAAACACCAATCAGCGTTTAGTGACGTCACTCCTGTTATGACAACTTCTTTGAGGTTATGGTTGTTAAAGTAAATATTATTTTATGGGAATATTTATTGCTTTTTTACATTTAATAAAAATGGAAGTTGCGTTTATCAAAGCAGACTCCAGGAATTTACCAAGAGTTAGCGTTGACATGGTTATAACTTTTTTTGTCCAAAGTGCAGAGTTTTTAAGTGTAGAAATGAAAGGGACTAAATTACTACGGTATGTAAAAATCGTAGTTGTTAAACTTCGTATTTTATTCAGCGGCTTCTACAAATCTTACGGCGATAATGCAATGGTTATGTCCAAATTAAAAGAGATGGAAAATTATGTACAGTTAAAGGTCGAGTTCTCCGGAGCATAAAGTACGTAAAGAAGGTAATCGTGTTACAGTTATTTTAAATGAAACGCAAAGCTTGGTTCAGTCCTGCCAATGTGAAGATTGTGCCACACATTTTAAACTTTATCTAATTTTCGACGTCATTCTCCAACTGTAAAATTAAAAATATGTTATAGACAGGTTTTGTAAGTATTAGGTAGGTTACTAATGCGTTTTTACGTACAAGCAGATTAATTAAGCATATAACAAGTATATTCGCCGACTTACGTCAAAGTGATCTTTTCAGCATCGAATAATGGTATTTGGAGAATAATTGTCATTTCTCTTCGCAGCTCGAAACCACTTTTTTTTTCAGTTTTAGGACAGAAGTTCCAGTCAAAAACAATTTATTTGGGAACTTTGTTGAAGTAGATTGGCACAAAACATGAGTCAACACGGCTTTTTTTCGGAATATTAGTGGTATTGTTATGATCACATGATGTTGATGGATAGTCCATTTTAAATTTTTCAAAAAAATATTTCAAAGGTCGAAAAAATATGCAAAAGTATGAAAATTTAAAGCCAGCAACAAACAATTACGACCAGTGACAGACAGGAGTGACGTCATCGCAACCATAGGTTCGTTTTCGCGCGAAAAATTAAATTGTCAATTTAAAACCTCATTTTTTCCGATAAATCACAATGTTTTAATTTTTTAATATATCTGTGGTTTATTCTACATGGAATTCTTTAAAATGAAATCAAAAATAAAAATATTGCATCTTCCCTATTAAGAATACTCTACTTGTAATTTTAGGTTTAATTTAAACAAAAATCCCAAAACGAAAATGAAAAGGTAACACTGTTCATTTCGTCAATATAAGGTTAAAATTTCGAACAACTATCTGTCAAATTCAACTTTTAGTTCGAAAGTTTTGTGAATTAGAGTAGGCTTGGAGAATTTAAATATCAAACTATTTTCGGACGAACGAATTTGCGAAATGAAATAGAAACAGAGTAAGGAACGTGCGAATTTCGATCGAAATTTCGTTTTTCGTAGAAATAGAGTAGGCCTCCAGTACATGGTTTGTGTAGGGTAGAAATGAAACTATAATGCGATTCAAAATGTCCTTGTCAAATGTCGCATGAAAAGTACGGTTTGCAAAAAATCTCCGAACGCTTTTTTAGCACTCAGCTAATTCTAGATTAAAAATCAAACATTTTTAAACAAACAATAACAAATATTGATAATTAATATTGGTTGATATTTTTTTTCGTTTAGCTTTGGCTATGGATGGTTGATAATCTACATCGTCAACCAAATATCACTTTATGTTGCGTTCAGAAACTCGATTTAAAACTTTCGTTTACATATAGGATGCATGTTCGCATGTGACCTGCATGATTATTCATAACTACTCCGGCGGTAATGCAGAGATGAGCGGAATTGAAGAGCTAGATTCTGATTAATGTTTTTTCTCACACAGCCTTAATAAAGAAATATCGGTTGTTTTTTTTCTCAATCTTAATAAATTAATTTTATTAAAAAAAAGTTTTATTAAATACAAACTTCTTTTTGCTCACTCTACCTAATTTGTTTGAATTGACAGCTATGACGTCAAAATATGGCGCCCAGTCGGTCATATTCTAAGTTGAATCGCATTATAGGAGAATTCTCCGATGATTCTTCCGTACGAGCATAGAAGTTTAAAAGAATCTAAATCTAATTTTCCTTATTGCAAAAACTTACCGGTTATCATTCTCAATAAGCTGCTATTTTCCAAATCGCATTTGCAGCTCGGGTCGAGTCTGGCCGCTTCTTCGTCTATGCGTCTCCTGATCTCCGAGGGGAGTTCCTTGGGACCTACATCGAGTATATGTAAATCTAAATGTTAATGTTGTTTGCAAATAAGAATAATTCTAGCATGATTCTTTAAACTGAAAATAAGCTAGGGTCAGCCTTTGAATATTGTAAAACCGACCAAATGAGAGTCGCACTGACGAAGGATTCCGCGCCAAAAACGGCAAAAAATCACGTCTGTTGCATTGGATTGCTTAAATATAAATCAATAAATATTTCCAACACTCACACCAATTAGCCTAGCCCCAAAGTAAGCGCTGTAAGGCTTGTGTTATGGGATGCTAGGGTAACGGATAGAATACATTTATAAGTATATTTATGACCATGACTGGAGTACAAATGCTCGTATTCATCACACAAACATCTGCCCCCACCGGGATTCTAAACCGGGACCTCTCGAGTCGGCGACACCATGAAACCCGGCGTATAAACTACTCGGCCACAGAGGTCGGCGAATATTTATTTGATTTAAATTGAATTGTCTATTTATTTTAAAAGTGAATGTACAACTAACTATTTTGTGAATATTTCAAGTGTCTACCTGTAGCCGTTATCAATATAGAGCAAAAAAGGCAATAAAAAATACGTTTGTTGTACGGGAGCCCCTCTTAAATATTTATTTTATTCCATTTTTAGTATTTGTGATAATTTCTACTGTCTAGCTATAATGATTTATGGCGAAGCTATTATGGTTTTAAGTAATAACTGCGTTCTGTCAGTGGTCACTTGTGGGATGGGTGTGCGGTATTCATATGTCTTCTGCAGGAAGGACTCGCTTCTGTCAAGTGCTTCTCCTATCACTCTCTTCACGTAGTGACGGTAGTTGGGGACTGTAGTCAGTGGTCGCTTGTGGGATGGGTGTGCGGTACTCACATGTCTTCTGCAAGAAGGACTCGCTTCTGTCAAGTGCTTCTCCTATCACTCTCTTCATGTAGTGACGGTAGTTGGGGACTGTAGTCAGTGGTCACTTGTGGGATGGGTGTGCGGCACTCACATGTCTTCTGCAGGAAGGACTCGCTTCTGTCAAGTGCTTCTCCTATCACTCTCTTCATGTAGTGACGGTAGTTGGGGACTGTAGTCAGTGGTCACTTGTGGGATGGGTGTGCGGTACTCACACGACTTCTGCAGGAAGGGCTCGCTTCTGTCAAGTGCTTCTCCTATCACTCTCTTCATGTAGTGATGGTAGTCAGACTGGGGCTTGTCTTCATACGCCCCTGTTGCTCTGTCGAATACTGGACAAAGGATACATAATTATTTAAGAATATCATCACTCTTTAGATACGAGTATATTATAGTGAGGTAGGCAAATGACTCTACCCCACCTGATGTTAAGTGGTGATAAAGTCCAAACGCGAAGATAGCTGGTACAGCAGTTGAAGTATCACGCATGCACTGCACTATCGTCTGCATAGCAATGAATATTCCCAAGAGGAATCAAATCATTGATATGCAGCAGAAAGAGTGTGGTCCAATCCTTCTCAAAGGACCAACAAATCCAGCTACCTCCAAATTCCTCAACTGATTACGATTCTTATAGCATCCGAAATAAAGCTCTTATCTCTCTGAAAGTTTAAGTTATGTACTCACTCTCTTCGACGTAGCATTTCGCGTCGAGAGAAGCTTCGAGTCTCTCCTTCACGCGTCGGTTAATGTCGTGTTTCGTCGCCACTTGTTCGGAGCGAGACGAACGGGAGTAAGATACCGCTGCGTAAGAAAAAAATAATAATAAACACTCATACTAATTATTATAGTAGCAAAGCACATTTTCATCCCATCAATTCGCGAGTGGTCAGCGCGTTCGGCTGCGGTCGTTGAAGTTGAGCAACTTTCGCAGTAGTCGGTCATTGGATGGGTGACCAAAAATTTACTATCTCGAGCTCCTGCACTGTTGTTCTTTTGTAGGCAGCTGCTGGAGATACCCATGGGCCTTGGGATTCTTGGAGTGTTTGGACTTGGAAAAGGATTCTTGAAGTTTTATTTTGATACAGTCCACCAACCATTGACACTCCTGACTCTTGCCCAAGCAAGTGCAAGTCACCACCTTTGGGTGCGCTTAAAGGCGAACCAAGTCGTCCTTCGAATTCATCATCATCATCATCATCAGCCTATTAATGTCCCCACTGCTGGGGCACAGGCCTTCACTATGGATGGAATAGGGAGATTGGGCCATGACCCACCACGCGGGCCCAGTGCGGATTTGCGGGTGCTAACGACTGCAGATGCAGCCGGGACCAACGGCTTAACGAGCCTTCCGAAGCACGGAGGAACTAGAGATAGAATATCTTTGGTCACCCATCCAATGAACGACCACTGCGAAAGTTGCTTAACTTCAACGATCGCAGCCAGACGCGCTAACCGCTCGCGCTATCGAGCTGTTCCATTACCATATAATGCAGCTGTATTCAGTATTATACCTTCATCAAGCAATACATCGAGCAAGCGTCTGAAGTCGTACGCGGGCGGGAACCTTTCGCTGATAGTCTTCTCCGGCTGACTGGGGCGGGCTACAAACGAAAGAAAACCTTAAATGTATGAGACCTAAGGTACAATTATTCAACTTGTAACTTCAAAGGTTTTTAGTTTCTGATATAGTTTCAGAGAGGTCAAAATGTCTAGCGAGTGGTATGTCCTTAGACGCAAATAAATAAATATTTCTAACACTCACACCAATTAGCCTAGCCCCAAAGTAAGCACTATAAGGCTTGTATTATGGGATACTAGGGTAACGGATGGAATACATATACTGTATAATGTGATTCAAATAAGAATGGGAAAGCCAATGACCTCTATCTGTCAAATGTCGCTTGAAAAGTACAGTTTGCAAAAAAAACTTGGAACCTTTTTTAGCACTCCGCTAATTCTAGAATAAAAACCAAACATTTGTAAACAAACAATAACAAATATTGATAATTATTATCGGTAGATATTTTTTTTTCACTTATTGAGCTTTGGCCATGAATGGTTGATAACCTAAATCGTCAACCAAATGTCACTTTAAGTTGCGTTCAGAAACTCGATTTCAAACTTTCGTTTACATAAAGGATGCATGTTCGTTTGTGACCTAATAATAGTGCATGATTATTCATAACTACTCCGGCGGTAATGCAGAAATGAGCGGAATAGAAGAGCTAGATTCTGATTAATGTTTTTTCTCTTAGTTTTAATAAATAAATATTATTAAAATCGGTGTTTTTTTTTCTGAAGCTTAGTAAATAAATGTTATTAAAAATCTGATGCTTTTTCTCACTTAATCTTAGTAAATAAGTTTTATTAAATAAAAACTTTTTTTTGCACACTCTACCTATTTGGTTTGAATTGACAGCTATGACATCACAATATGGCGCCTAGTCGGTCCTATTCTTAGTTGAATCGCATCATAAATAATAATTATATTTATATAGAAATACATATTTAAACATCTATGACTGGAGTACAAATGCTCGTATTCATCACACAAACATCTGCCCCCACCGGGATTCGAACCCAGGACCTCTCGAGTCGGCGACACAATGAAACCCGGCGTACAAACCACTCGGCCACGGAGGTCGTCAGTCACATAGAGATATAAAGCGCAAAACATGCGCATCATAGCGTAATGTAATGAAATAATATGGAAACTCGTCTGTCTAGACATGGCAATGATCAAGTAATTTTAAAAACTTCTAAATCGATAGAACTTTAGAGACGATTTGGAATGTTGTTTTTTCTTAATATTTTTTTTATAGATAGGTCCGACAAATGCCTCCACCCCACCTGATGTTAAGTGAAGGTGAAGTCCAGACGCGAAGATAGCATACAGCAGTTCTACCTGCCACACCAGCGATCCTCACCCTGCCGGCCTGCATGTTGCTTCTTCACGCCTCTTTTAAAGGATCCCAGGTTGTAAGAGGGAGGGAACACGTGAGCGGGCAGAGCATTCCATTTACGATCTCAACTGTGTACCTAATTATGAAAATCTAACAGTTTCCTTACCCCTAGTGTATCTCCAGCGTGGATCATCTCTGTAAGCCGTCTCCGTGGGTTCCAGTTCCAAGTGGCACTCTCTACAACGACACGACTCGTCCAGTGGCCGTTCGCAGCGAATACACATCGCTGCAAGTAGATTGTCAATAAAATGATTAAAATAAATGTATTATTCTACATATTTCATTATTATCGTATTGAATATATATATTAGATAGTATTGAACCTAACTCTAGCCGTGTAAACAAATAATTTATAATGTTTCTACGAAGAGGTCGAAAAGTATAGGTCCATTATAACAACCTTGTCACACACCAATTTTGTAAAAAAGTTATGAAAGCTACATGGTAATTTTTTGATGTAAGGCATATCGGACAGAATTGACTTAATTTGTTTAATTCTGTCAAAGGCTTTTCAAAGAACAGAATTTGTCTTCTATATCTTAAGCGATCGGCAACATATTCAAATGAGGATCCGTAACGATTTTAGTTGAGAATGCAGATTTATAGAGCTAATGATTCCATAAAATACTGTGGTTAAATTTTTGTTCTACGACAAGTATTGACGAAGTTATGACCAAATTACTAAACTAATTTTCTTACGAATTAAAAAGCTTATTAGATCATTATACTGTAGATTTTGAGTTGATTTGTTGACTTAATAATGATCCTCATTATGGTATTGTTAACAATTAAACTCATTTGGTAAAAATATGTCCAATTTTTTTCTTTTAATATAACTAACTAACGTATTTTATGGATAATGCAACTAAGGCCCACTTGCACGTAAATCTTGAGATATCAAAATAACTTCGAGTTTACTAACTCAAAGTTAATATAACATTTTCTTAACTCAGACTTTATCTTGCACGAACAGAAAATAATCCAGGGTTACGTAACCCAACAAAAAGAGAGAACGATGAATGACATAAGTATTGTTTTCCCTTTCACACAACAGTATCTTGCATATACCTCTTTCGTAATGTCAAATTTGAAAAGACGTGATGTTTTTGGGCGTTTAAGTTGAATGGCGTCCTGTATTTTGTCTGTCAAATAGGTGTTTGTATACCGATTGCATGGTGTTTTTAAAATACCTATCTGTCTCGTAAGTTTGTATTTTGTGGCAACAATTTCGTGCGATTATATTTTGTAAAATGAAGAAGAAATCTCGTTTACATGCCCCGAATTTTACAAGTAGACAGTGACAGTTTACTGCTATGTGATATTTTATACAAATATATGAATATTATTGAAAATATAAAAAAAATGACGGCGCTACTCTTCTTCAAAAACAAAAAGCTTGGCAGGATATATCGGTCAAAAAATATGTGCCTACTTATATTATGGTCGACAATTTTTTCGTCATCATCAGAAAACAAAAAGTCATCCAGCATTCAAAAATATATAAAATAAAATGTTATCTCTATAAAAACAAACAACACAGCCTATAATAACAATTTTGACGTTTTAAATCTCGACTTAGCAATTTAACCCTCCAACTTTGGCGGGTTAATTATTTTATTATTTAACCTAAGCTTTAGTGTTAACTCATGGCAGTGTAAGAAAAAATATTTTTTTAACCCCAGTTTAATAGTTAACTCGTAGGTAAATAAATTAACCCTGGAACGTGCAAGTGGGCCTAAGGCGAAGATTCTTAATTAAGGCAATGTTTTGCTTCCACAAATTCTACTGTAGAAGTTTATTTCACCTGTAAAATGCTGTCCGTAAATCCTACAACATAAAAAGTAGAGTGGATCAAGGACACCGCAGCACCAGCTACCAATAGTAGTTCACGAACTCTTCAAAACTCACGTTCTTTAACCTCAGCGTCATCCAACAATCCGAATATTGTCTCCCTAGCAGCTTGCAGTCTCGCGTTTTGTGTGGCCGAGATGTGATGCCGAGATGCTTCCTTGTGAACGCTGGGCAGTAAGAACTGCTGAACGAGTTCTGCTACCAATTCGTTTTGTTCCGCTGTAGACCTATTGACAGAATTCAAACTCAAACTCATTTTACAAGCTCTTGTTAAAGTCAAACGCTACGCCATCGGTTTGTAAACCTACGGCGGGAGACCTTGTACTGAGAAGAACCGGCAAGAAACTCAGCATGGGCTATTTTTTTCTCCCTGTTTTGTTTCATACAGTGTCGTCAATTGAAAGATGTCATTAAAATTGAAAACATGTGTTGATGTCAACTTTCGCATTTTTTATAATTTCGGTTTTTTGTCACGAATGAAGATGTTGTTATGTCTACTAAGAAGTCAGACCTCTTCAGATTCCATTTTAATAAGCGTAAACAATGAAATATATAATGGATGAAGGGTCGCATAACACTTAACTCATTAGTGGAAAAATGTGTTGAGGGTACATAAAACTCGTCTTCAATGATAAAACACATAATCTTGTAGTGGAAGAAAGTGTTATGTTTCTGCATAGCACCCTCATCCTACCTACCTATCTTACCAAAATTGATAGATCACAACACGATATTAATGGAGAAGAAAGATAACATGAAAAATCACCATAACTTTGTAAAACCAGACTATAGTTATTTTTCTAAACCATCAGTTTCATAATTGAAGGTAAAATTCCATTTTAATAAAAACTTTTATACAATTTATTATTGTTGTGTGTGAAAGTGCTATGTTTAGTTTTTTTTTTATAAAAATATAATATTTTTCCTAACGACATTATAAACTAGAACAGATTAATCTTTCTCGTCGATAATAATACTATGAGCAAACAGATTTACATCAGACTGATCTCAGCTGAATTAACGAACGCTTCAGATTTACTCCAGATGTAATAAACGAACAATTAAGACTTAAAAGATTGATCACACGCAAATACTGAACGTGGCTACTATATTATTATACTTACATCGAGTCATGGTCCTTTAGCGATTCGTCAGTCTTGTCGGCTAAATCCTGCGCTTTCTTCACGGCGTCGTGTTCAGCCGAGAGTTCCACTCCTTCAGCAATCACCTCGCGGAGATAAGCGTCTACAGTTTCTTGGGTCACGCCCAGCACCTGAGGGGATTGAATTGAAGAACATGCTAGTGTCGATTCTGGCATCATTCTCTAAGCCTAAATTTGACAACAGTTTAGTCTTGTCATTCTCCATACAAACTGCTAAGGAGAGAATGATGTTAAATTTAATTTTTTTTCGCGTACCTCCATGGCCCAGTGGTTTATACGCCGGATTTCAAGATGACGCCGACTCGAGAGGTCCCGGGTTCTCGAATCCCGGTGGGGGCAGATGTTTGTACGATGTATAATACGAGCATTTGTACTCCAGCCATGGATGTTTAATATGTATTTCATAATAAATATACTTACATATGTACAACATATGTATTCTATCCGTTACCCTAGTATCCCATAACACAAGCCTTACAGTGCTTACTTTGGGGCTAGGCTAATTGGTGTGTGTTGGAAATATTTATTTATTTTAAGTTTAGGAAATCCAGCAAGAATCGACACCATTAGATAGCAAATTTTAGTTCAGGTATATTGCCAATATTTCGACGGACGGGATGTTCATAGTTTTATTTGTTGACAGCACATGACATACGCAACGAAACTTTGGACTACAAACAAGCAGACAAATAAAAATAATACAGATTAGATTAACATACAGACATTAACAAAACTAGCTAAAGATAAAAACAGCTACACCTACAGTAATGAAGATGTACATTTTATGTGAATATGGGCAGCATACACTGCAAGTAGGTTCTGCTGCACTGGTGTTCTGCCATACCCAGCGCAACATCACAGAAAACTTACTTAAATAATAAAATAAACAAAAAATAAATAAAACAAAAAAATATAATCAGCCTTATGTGTAACTAGTGGCTGCCCGCGACTTCGTACGCGTGGAATTAGTTAGAAATAAAGGTTCACTGCTCGTTCCCGTTAGGTGATAGCGTGATAATATGTAGCCTATATGTTGACCAGACTTCTTAATAATATTTGTGCCAAATTTGAAGTAAATCCATGCAGTACTTTTTGTGTTTATCCCGGACACACATACAGACAAACAGACAAAAATTCTAAAACTATATTTTTGGCTTCGGTATCGATTGTAGATCTGACCCCAAATATTCCTTTAAAAGAATATTCAATGTACAGTTTTGACTTTCCTACCATTTTATTATATGTATAGATTTTAAATGCACTGTTACATAGAATGGCTCCGTGCTAAAGAAGACACGTTAAGCCATTGGTCAGCCGCATCTGTAGTCTTTAGCACCCATCATAGATTTCGTGAGTAGACTGAGCAATACTCGCATGAAATTATCAACGTTCAGAAAGAGAGAAAACCTTTCGTCTCTTTCACATTTACCTATCTTCTCAGTTTTACATTACAGCTGGACAGATAACGCTCCGTCCATTATCCATACCTATACTTCCATACTAATATTATAAATCCGAAAGTGGGTCTGTCTGTTACCTCCTCACGTTTAACCGCTAGAAGGATTTAGATGAAATCTGTTAAAATAAAAGGCAACTGTTACCGACTTATCTATCAATGCACAGCGCAAACCACTAACATAATTTTAATATAAATAACACTATTTGTATTTATACTGCATGACACAGCAATCAAAATGCAGGCAAACAATGATGAGATATGAATGCTCTAGTTTAGCCGACCCCCTCGGTTCGAGTGGTCTAAATCACGGTAATATTATCTATATAGTATTGTGACTCGGCCCTTGAAATAACTGCCTACGGCCGAGCGCGGCGTAAACATGCGGTATAGCTGCCCGCCTACAGTATTTTAATTTCATCTACAGAATTGTTTCTTTCTAGTTTTGTGATAGTAAATATTTCATTTTATATGTAAAAAAAAATGTTGTGAATGAATTAGGAAGTGTTCAATAAAATACAGGTTATGTTTAGGTAATATTTAATAAAATAATTATTTATAGATTTGAGACAGAGAAATATTTACGCCTCGAATGAGACGTACAAAAAGATTAATTATTAAATTTAATATAAATACGCATTCGTATAAAAAGTTTAATACGCCATCCGCCTGGAATACCTCTAGAGGCACTCGCCAATTCCTTGCTCGAGGTCCCCTTAGGATCTCGCCGTCGCCAAACCCGGTGACTCCTGCCTGCTTGACCTATACCAAGAACTATACGCATTCGAGCGAACCTCGGTACTCGCGAGGTTGTACTCGCTTTTTCAAAGTGGAATTTTAAATTTGCGCCTACTTGTGATCTTACGTAAGAACTATAGAGACTCCCTCCCAACACCCCTTTTGAGAAAAAATAAGACATGGTCGACCCCATTCGCCCCTAAATCGTCTTACGTAATAGATTAGTGATTTAGTCTATGTCTAAAGCACACACCAATCCGAATTAAATCCTCTTGGCCTATGGCCTTGACCTATGTGCCTATTCCAACCATAGGGAAGGCGTGTGCCCCAGCAGTGGGTACATGAATAGCTGTAATTCTTACCTGTTTGAACATCTCGTCGTGCTCCCTCCTTCTGTGCTCTTCTTTCTGTCTCCTGCCCGCTTCCAGTGCTTCGCGCATCGACTTCTCTCGCACTGTAATTTAAATAAGCCTATTAAACTATTTGAAAGTGTGTAAGATAAAATAAATTTGGCATCTGGATTTAATACGAATATAAGCAGAAGGAGAAATTTTACTGAGCAATGTAGGCGAATCTATCATATTGTTCAATATTTTGTGCAGAAATACTATATCAAACATTTTGCGTCGGTCACAGAGTGATAACATTTTGTTGCTTTTTAGGGATTCATCATAGAAACCATTTATGCAGTCAATACGGTAGTAATTTTTTTTTTCTATTTCATTTACAGGTATATTTTAACAATAATATAATTTAAATTAATTGTTTTTCTATAATTTATAGTATTATTTCATAGCTCTGGCATCATTTATTGATCGCTCCGGTCACAATAATTTCATACATACATCTTTATATATATAATTCTTCTGTGAGTGTGTATGTCACTGAACTTCTCTTAAACGACTGGACCGATTTTGATGAAATTTTTTGTGTGTGTTCAAGGGGATCTGAGAATGGTTTAGATTCACAATTTTGTCCGCTGGACTACCCCTATTTTTTTAGGGCGGTACGAAGTTCGCTGGGTCAGCTAGTATCTTATAAACCCTTTGCAGAAAATGAGGGACACACATGAGGATCACATTCTCATACGATTTCTTATTTGCAAAAATAACTAAAACCGTTAAAAAAATATTAATAAACAAAAAAGCACCAGAGCGAGCAACAGAATAATGTTATTTTGGACAAGTAATAAATAATAAATAAATAAATATTTCCAACACTCACACCAATTAGCCTAGCCCCAAAGTAAGCGGTGTAAGGCTTGTTTTATGGGATGCTAGGGTAACGGATAGAATACATATACCGTACATATAAGTATATTTTTATATAAATACATATTAAACATCCATTTTATAATCCGGACTGCCTCCGAATTTAATAATACAGCCGTGGCTGAGGTCTTATATGACGCATATGTCAGTAGTAAACTGGAATACGCTGCTATCATATGGGACCCTCGTGAGACTAAATATGTACTTATGGTGGAGCGCGTACAGCGTAAGTTTGCACGTTGGCTTTACAAACGCCGTTATGGGTATTACCCATATCTATATTCCTCACTTTTCGTCACTGGTATGGTGGATCTTGTGACACTAGCTATTAGGCGTAAAATGCTTATGTTTGTGTACTTCTTCTCCGTATTACATCATAGGGTAGATAGTAGCTTAGTGTCCGGGGTGAACCTATTAATACCTTCACTTAGTGAAGTGGTCAAGCGATGGTCGCCCCGCGCCGCCGAGCGCGCCTCTTCCACGTGCCCGACACACGGACCTTACACGCTGCGCATGCACCCACCCCGCGCGTACTTCGCTTGATAGACAGCGTGCTCGCTCAGTGCGACCAAATAGATGTATATGCCGACCATTTCGAACATATTATTAAAGAAGGTTGTAAATGCCTAGTTAGTAAATATTGACATTGGACTAAATTCAATTAATTTTATTGTATTTATTTTTGATTTTATTCTTATGTATAATTTGTTTTTGATTTATAATATTAATGAATGTGACCTGCTGATGCGTTAGTTTCAATTAATTTTATTGTTTTTATTAATTTAATCTTTTATTTTATTGTAATGTATAATTTATATTTTATTTATAATTTTAATTAATGTGACCTGCTGATATGTTATTTTCAATTAATGTTATTGTATTTATTAATTTAAATTTGTATTTATTGTAATGTATAATTTGTATTTTATTTATAAATTGAATTAATGTGACCGGCTGATGCGTTGGAACTAGTTCTGTAAATCAGCATGTTTATTGAATAAATAAATAAATCCATGACTGGAGTACAAATGGTCGTATTCATCACACAAACATCTGCCCCCACCGGGATTCGAACCCGGGACCTCTCGAGTCGGCGACACCATGAAACCCGGCGTCCAAACCACTCGACCACGGAGTTCGTAGTCCACAAGTAGCCATGAGAGCTTCGCTCCAATAACCACACATCAAGACTTACTAGCGATGAGAAGGAACGCGTGCTGCCTTCTCTCTTCCTTCAATCTTCTCAGCTCCTTCTCCAGAAAGTCGAGAGCTGCAGATACCGCCCCGCCGCAGAGTTCATCTACCAGAGCTGATACTGCGTCCTCCTGCGTGAACGAAAATTTTAATGGATTTTTATAGAGATTTTGCGGACATTGTATTGTGAGTGTAGCAGACCCCTCTTTCCCAGTGGGCACTTTGGGCAAGTGCCCAGGGCCCCGCGATCGATAGGGGCCCACCTCAGATCAAATACAAAGTCCCTAGTTCCTGTTAGATCACCAAACAGGGTCAAAGGGGCCCCATTATCCTTATATGCCCAGGACCTCCAATAGGTCAAAGACGGTACTGGAGTGTAAGGTTGCTAGGTCGCAAAACCTAATAGCCGGACAGATCAGCCAGTACGGCCGCACATTTGGGTAAAAAGGCCGGACACCCTACATTATTAAGGCTTTTGTGGTTCAGTAAAATTAGGTACGACAAAAATTTTATGTAAAAGCGACCGGCAGTCAACTCGCTTGCGCTAAGCCACGCTCGGCGCTCGCTCGTTTGCGAAATGTAAAAAGCCTAACAAAATCCGGACCAGCCGGACACCGTTTATTTTGGCGGGACACGCAACAGAAAAGCTTAATTATGTCCGGCTTTATCCGGACGCCTGGTAACGTTCGGTGGGTATACTTAGCATGTCCATATTGGCGTACACAGAAATTTTTATTGGCTCGCGGTGGTAAGGATAATAAAATTATAAATGACGCCGCCCGTATAATTCATTTAGCAGCCCTAGCAGATAACGCGTAGTACTGCATATAGAGTTGACGAAGATTTTGATGTACTTTGTTGGTATTGGGAGCTCAATCGCGCACTTCATTAGCGCGCTTTGTCAGCGATCGTGGACTTTAATACCGTTAAGTTTTCATAACTATATTTCATAACTCTTACGAAAATTTAAGTATTTTGAAGTGAAAACTTATTTATCAACGTTGTAATTTGACACTCGATGAAACGAAAAAGCGACTTTCCCTTTAAAAGTTCTGTAAAATAGTCCACGACAGCCTATGTTTATATTTTAAGTTTCACTCACTATAAACCTTTTTCTTCAAATTAACGCGGGACCTCTTTTGAGTTGTGACATAACTGTAATAGTTAGACATAATTATGGTATCGCGGACTATTTTGTAGATATTGGTATCCTCTATAAAACTTTAGTACATCACTTTTCTCTATTGTCGATGACTTCCGCAAAGTACGCGATATAAGGCTATTTTTTTGGTATTTTTTACACACGTTGGGTTACATTATCGAAGTTTTTATACGGAACCCTATTTTGAAAATACTCTATAGCCTTTATTAATCAGTGATAACGTAGCATTCAAATGGTGAAAGAATTTTTTAAATCGGTCGCGTACTTTTTGAGCCAATTCGTTACAAACATACTTACATACAAAGGACATTGGGCAAAAATGTATGGACGCTGCACCCACGTCCGCCACGGTTTAAACTACATTTGTTTAAAAGGTATTATAGTCAAGATCATCTGTACCAAAGCGCATCAAATTCCATCCCGGGGGTCTTTAGTTATTTTAAGTTAAATATGTACAAGTACTATAACGAACGAACATTAATGAAACAAGGGAATTAATTTAGTTAGTTCGACCCTACATAGGGGGCTCAGGAATTATGGGAGTACTTCACAAGGTGCAAGGGTGCCCCTTATGTTATTCTGCCGCGCTAGAGTAAAACCAAAAATCCCCGCATGGTTTGGGTTTTCTTTAAACATTCTGTTCGTTATAGTAAATTGTCTTCTATGTAAAACGGAGCGACCAAAGATTACACAAACTTGTCCACGCTTCGGAGAACACATTATTCCAGTTCATCCATACTAATTGACAAAACCGATAATCGTGTTCCAATATCCAAAGCTTGTTAGATAAAAAATAATCAAATAGCATAGCACACAATCACAACGAAGTAAGACGAGTCGACTATTTGTAACTGCAAGCCCTTCAGCATATCTAAACCGTTTTGAAATGTCTCAGTAACAGCAAGCGCAGGATGGTCGTCAGGCTTTGTCGTATATCCGGTTGTATAGTATGATATGGCATATTATTGTGATTACTAATAATATAAAATGAAGGTACTATAAAATGAATTTATTCAGCTACTCAAATATGCCCATGTGTCATATCTATTGACTACCAGGATATTTTTTACAGTGTCATATCTTTTGACTCCCAGGATATTTATTTTCGGCGTCATAATAAAAAAGGCAAGTTTTTCATAGATCTATCGATTCATACTAATTACATTGTTGGCGGAGCTGGGTGCGTTTTGCCCATTGTCCTTTTTCCTCTTTATAATATTAGTATAGATAGATTATTATTTATTTTTCGAAACAATTTAAGTATAATATTTTGCCCAGTACAGTACCTAGTCATGAAAGACTTTTACGTGTTCACATCCTTGTAAGTTTCACTTCTATCGCATGTGAACAGCACACAATAAACTTTGCGTTGTACTCTCTGGCCTTGGTCGTCAATACCTCCGTCAGTCAGTCAATATATCATCAGTATACATCAGCTTCTGCTCGGCCTCTGTGCTGATTGCGTTGTACTCCGTGGCCTTGGTCTTCAATACCTCCGTCAGTCAGTCAATATATCAGCTTCTGCTCGGCCTCTGTGCTGATTGCGTTATACTCCCTGACCTTGGTCTTCAATACCTCCGTTAGTCAGTCAATATATCATCAGTATACATCACTTTCTGCTCGGCCTCTGTGCTGATTGCGTTGTACTCCGTGGCCTTGGTCTTCAATACCTCCGTCAGTCAGTCAATATATCATCAGTATACATCACCTTCTGCTCGGCCTCTATGTTGATTGCGTTGTACTCCGTGGCCTTAGTCTTCAATACCTCCGTCAGTCGGTCAATATATCGTCAGTCAATATATCATCAGTATACATCACCTTCTGCTCGGCCTCTATGCTGATTGCGTTGTACTCTCTGGCCTTGGTCTTGAATACCTCCGTCAGTCAGTCAATATATCATCAGTATACATCACCTTCTGCTCGGCCTCTCTGCTGATTGCGTTGTACTCCGTGGCCTTGGTCTTCAATACCTCCGTCAGTCAGTCAATATATCATCAGTATACATCACCTTCCGCTCGGCCTCTATGCTGATTGCGTTGTACTCCGTGGCCTTAGTCTTCAATACCTCCGTCAGTCAGTCAATATATCATCAGTATACATCACCTTCTGCTCGGTCTCTATGCTGATTGCGTGGTACACTCTGGCCTTGGTCTTCAATACCTCCGTCAGTCAGTCAATATATTATCAGTATACATCACCTCCTCGGCCTCTGTGCTGATTGCGTTGTACTCCCTGGCCTTGGTCTTCAATACCTCCGTCAGTCAGTCAATATATCATCAGTATACATCACCTTCTGCTCGGCCTCTGTGCTGATTGCGTGGTACACTCTGGCCTTGGTCTTCAATACCTCCGTCAGTCAGTCAATGTATTATCAGTATACATCACCTTCTCCTCGGCCTCTGTGCTGATTGCGTTGTACTCCCTGGCCTTGGTCTTCAATACCTCCGTCAGTCAGTCAATATATCATCAGTATACATCACCTTCTGCTCGGCCTCTGTGCTGATTGCGTTATACTCCCTGACCTTGGTCTTCAATACCTCCGTCAGTCAGTCAATATATCATCAGTATACATCACTTTCTGCTCGGCCTCTGTGCTGATTGCGTTGTACTCCGTGGCCTTGGTCTTCAATACCTCCGTCAGTCAGTCAATATATCATCAGTATACATCACCTTCTGCTCGGCCTCTATGTTGATTGCGTTGTACTCCGTGGCCTTAGTCTTCAATACCTCCGTCAGTCGGTCAATATATCGTCAGTCAATATATCATCAGTATACATCACCTTCTGCTCGGCCTCTATGCTGATTGCGTTGTACTCTCTGGCCTTGGTCTTGAATACCTCCGTCAGTCAGTCAATATATCATCAGTATACATCACCTTCTGCTCGGCCTCTGTGCTGATTGCGTTGTACTCCGTGGCCTTGGTCTTCAATACCTCCGTCAGTCAGTCAATATATCATCAGTATACATCACCTTCCGCTCGGCCTCTATGCTGATTGCGTTGTACTCCGTGGCCTTAGTCTTCAATACCTCCGTCAGTCAGTCAATATATCATCAGTATACATCACCTTCTGCTCGGTCTCTATGCTGATTGCGTGGTACACTCTGGCCTTGGTCTTCAATACCTCCGTCAGTCAGTCAATATATTATCAGTATACATCACCTTCTCCTCGGCCTCTGTGCTGATTGCGTTGTACTCCCTGGCCTTGGTCTTCAATACCTCCGTCAGTCAGTCAATATATCATCAGTATACATCACCTTCTGCTCGGCCTCTGTGCTGATTGCGTTGTACTCCGTGGCCTTGGTCTTCAATACCTCCGTCAGTCAGTCAATATATCATCAGTATACATCACCTTCTGCTCGGCCTCTATGCTGATTGCGTTGTACTCCCTGGCCTTGGTCTTCAATACCTCCGTCAGTCAGTCAATATATCATAAGTATACATCACCTTCTGCTCGGCCTCTGTTCTGATCGCGTTGTACTCCCTGGCCTTGGTCTCCTCCTTGGCGATGCGGACCTTGTCCTCCTTCTGAAGACCATGCGTGGTCTTCAACTCTTCGGTTAATTCTGCAGCTCGCGTACGACCTTCGTACATCTGGCGAAAGAAATTACGTTTAGCTTTGCTTGTCAAGTACTTACGGCTGGCAGTTATATTAAAAATTATAATATATCAATTCAAATTGGAGAAATCGACAGCCTTCATTATGCGAAAGGCTAAGCAGTGGAACTTCCTGCCGAGGTCTGTTTTCCCTCACCAATATAATCTGGACATCTTCAAGGCCAGAGTGAACAAACAGGCTTTTCAGAATCTTCCACGACTGCCACCTCAGGGGTGGCGGAGCGAGTATGTCTGTCTGTCTGACGCAGCTGATTAAGATGAAATATGGTATAGATATAGTATAGTTATTCTCTCAGAAAACCTTCTTAGGTGGGTAATTAGGGACCTGGGAGTTTGTATGAGAAAACAATTGTTTGTGAGAATACAATCATAAATCATCAATGTGACATACCAAGATCTGCACAGCCCGTCCCCTGATGACCTTCTGCAGCATCAGCGCGTTCTGGTGATTGCTCTCTTCAGAATCTTCCACGACTGCCACCTCGGGGGTGGCGGGGCGCGGGGTGGATACCACCCTCCGCGGTTTCAACACTCGCAGAGGACCCGCGGTATTGTGGGCTGCTCCTAAACGCGCCTCTGGACAAGAAAATAGCCTTTAAACCGAGTCATCCCCCGCGGGGATAGCCACCGGAGGCAAATGAGAATAAAAAAAATGTGAGCCGTCACGGGACGCCTGGCAGGTGTTAAACATCGACATTGTTTTGTAAAAGTAATATGCAGAAAAGAACAGATTGCGATAGGAACTAAATATGGCATAATGATAAAATAAAAAATTTACGATTTTTCTCCAGAAAATGATGAATGTTTATTTAATAAACTTTTTTTTCACAAGTCAGTCATATTTTATTATTAGAAAAAACACTCACAATTTGGAAGGATCCGCGGGCAAATGGTGTTTATTTCATTAAAGCACTCACTCATAAGATCATGATGAAGGGTCTCTAAGAACTGCTCGCTCCACTTGGGTTCTCGTTCGCATAATTTAGAAGGATCCGCGGGCAAATGGTGTTTATTTCATTAAAGCACTCACTCATAAGATCATGATGAAGGGTCTCTAAGAACTGCTCGCTCCACTTGGTCTCTCGCTCGCATAATTTAGACGGATCCGATGGTAAATGGTGTCCGGAACATGTGCGCTTCAAATTCTGACCGCATTGCTCGAGCCAAGCCGGGGGCTGAGCTATACTCTCGTGATCTTCGAGGGCTGTTAAAAAAAGAGCTTTTAAAATAGGCGACCCGTATCTTCTATGGTCTGGTAATTCAACACATTTGCTCGAAAAATGCATTTACGGATGTTGTATCAATTGTTCGAAAGTTCAAAATTACGGGCCATACAACGGAGCGTGCGTTAAACATTTTACCGAACGCTCCCATAAATGGTTTCCGGTTCTCGGTGTATCATTACATCCTATCTATGCTATATACTCACACAGCAGGGAGGGTTCGTAATATAAATGCGAATGTGTCCCTCTCACGTGGCAGCCGTGTCAGGCGAGGGGCGCGTGCAGTATGCAGGCGAGGTCGGTGCAAGCTTCGATCATATTCTCTCCCGCGCGGGAGATGCGATATTTTTTGGAAAACTTGCGGTAGGTACTCTGTCTATCTTTAATCCTATATCTATGCTACATACTCACACAGCAGGGCGGGATCGTAATATAAGCGCGAATGTCTTCTTCTCACGTGGCAGCCGTGTCGAGAGAGGGTCGCGTGCAATATGGAGGCGGGGTCGCTGCAAGCTTCGATCAAATTCTCTCCCGCGCGGGAGGTTCCAAATTTTTTTTGGAACACTTGCGATAGGTACCCTATCTTTACATCCTTTTTTACGCTACATACTCACACAGCAGGGAGGGCTCGTAATATAAGCGCGAATGTCTTCTTCTCGCGTGGCAGCCGTGTCGAGAGAGGGGCGCGTGCATTATGGAGGCGGGGTCGCAGCAAACTTCGATCATATCGCATCTCCCGCGCGGGATATGCGATGTTTTTTAGAACACTTGCGATAGGTACTCTATCTTTACATCCTATATCTATGCTACATACTTACAAAGCAGAGCGGGTTCGTAATATATGCGGGAATGTCTTCCTCTCGCGTGGCAGCCGTGTCGAGCGAGGGGCGCGTGCAGTATGGAGGCGGGGTCACCGCAAGCTTCGATCATATTCCCTCCCGCGCGGGAGATGCGAGATTTTTCAACGAGACCGGCTCGACCGCCGCTTGTATGGAGTAGCTTTAGCTTGCGGACTTCTGTAAGAGAAAGTGGTAAGAGACTTGCACTTTTGAGGAGTTCGATTATATTTTTAAAGAAATACATATTAAACATCCATGACTGGAATACAAATGCCCGTATTCATCACACAAACAAATGCCCCCACCGGGATTCGAACCCGGGACCTCTCACAAACATATCAACTTTCACAATTATAATGTAAGTAGAAAGAAGGATAGTATAGTCCTCACCCCTGTCTCTTCCTCTCCTGATGCGCTCCAGTTTTCTCTCCATCTCCTGCTTCTTGCAAGCCCACAGCTTCGCTAGTTTTAAACTTGTTCTGCTAGTTTGCTTCTGACGCTGCTCTTGCTGAATCCTATGTAGCAGTGTTAGTCTTATGTCCTGTGGAATAAATATAAATATTAAATAAATATTTTCAACACACACCAACTAGCCTAGCCCCAAAGTAAGCACTGTAAGGCTTGTGTTATGGGATACTAGGGTAACGGATAGAATACATATACTGTACATATACCTATAAGTATATTTATATAGAAATACATATTAAACATCCATGACTGGAGTACAAATGCTCATATACCACACAAACATCTGCCCCCACCGGGATACGAACCCGGGACCTCTCGAGTCGGCGACACCATGAAACCCGGCGTAGAAACCACTCGGCCACGGAGGTCGTCCAATGAGGGAATGTTTAGCTATTGAATCAAACTTTTATTATAAAGGCGAAAGTTTGTGAGTGTGTATGTTTGTTACTTCTTCACGGGTAAACGGTTGGAGCGATTGTAATAAAATTTGGTATGGAGTTAGCTGACACCCTGGATTAACACATAGGCTACGTTTAACTGCGGGAAAATATTCCTATTATATATCAAAAGGCGAAAGTTTGTGAGTGTGCATGTTTATTACTTCTTCACGGGTAAACGGTTGGAGCGATTGTAATAAAATTTGGTATGGAGTTAGCTGACACCCTGGATTAACACATAGGCTACGTTTAACTGCGGGAAAATATTCCTATTATATATCAAAAGGCGAAAGTTTGTGAGTGTGTATGTTTATTACTTCTTCACGGGTAAACGGTTGGAGGGATTTTAATACAATTTGGTATGGAGTTAGCTGACACCCTGGATTAACACATAGGCTACGTTTTACTGCCGGAAAATATCCCTAATAAGCAGTGGCGGATTTACCAGTAGGCTCAGTAGGCTGGAGCCTAGGGCGGCAGATTTTAGGGGGCGGCAAATTTGGCCCAAAATATACACAGAAAAACGAGTGACAAAAATTTTAATATTTTAGTAATGTACAGTATACTCAACACTCTTACGTCCGTAATCCGTATATAAAAGATTACTAAGCGCACTGTAAAATATAGGTACTTATGCGATCATGAATTTTTAAAATATTCCAATAGCGTTTCAATATTAATTACAATTTAATTTTAGTCTTTTTTCGCCACTGCTAATAAGCCGCGGGTAACACTGAGGGGCACAGCTAGTAAGTAATAAAATAAATATGTATTCGACAGTGGGAAGGCAAAATCGCTTATACGCCACTTAGGTCGAAAATGGGTCATATATCTAAATATATACATCATTTGAATCAGTTTTTTTCCTGCGTCGATCTGTTTATATTTCGCGAAGATTTTAGTACTTTTTCGGCGTTTAAGCAACTCAATGGAGAAATATACGCAAAGCTCGACATAGATGGCGCTGCAAACGCTTGACCCAAACCACAGCCGAATATTGTAGCTGTCAAATTTTGAAGTGGTCAACATGTATTCAACATGATCTGTAATACAGCTGTAAACAAAGTTGAAAAGGAGAGGAGCATCTATGCAAGGCAGAAAAGCTGATCTAGTAGAAAGATACTCTCTTTATTATTATGCTAGAATGCTCATTCTCGGTACATAGATGTATTTTCCATGATTATTTTAATAACTAGCAAACCAGTGAACCAAATGTTCACCAAAACCTGATTTAAAAAAAAATGTATTTAATTAATTGAGAACTTCGGAGATTTTGTGTGGTTTCGTTTGAAATTCGTAATTTCTCGAAAACCGGAAGTGCTACGTTACTCAAATCCGGTTTGTAGTCTTATCAGACTATTCTTAACTTATAACTTAAACATTCTCTTTATCTATCTCTTACGGTTTGGCCGCTGAAACAGCACCACGGACGGACGGACGGACTTGTCTATTAGATAAGAGATTCATGGATCTCAGTAACTTTTAGCGGGCTCATTAGTCAAATCTATCTTATTTTTGCATCAGTCAGACATCTCATAGAGTTAGGTTACCTCGGGCTAAAATGGGAAGTATAAACATTGGGTTTTTTACAGTCTTGAGGCATATGACCGCAATTTTAATTTTGGTGCAGTTTTTTCTGATCAAATTGAAGACATCCAGATGCAATTACCTGCCCCAGATACATACCATGATGTAAACAGCAGCTCACTTTTACCGCCCCTTTCAAAGAAACATATAAAATTATATTTTAGTAGGTAAGCATGCAGTTTTTTAAGGTTTAAGGTACCTCTTTCATTTCGGACGCGCTCCGAACGAAACCTTTACTAAAAACCGGTATTAACCTTTATTTACCGGTACTTTTGAAACCGGTTTCAAGCCCTTGTCGGTAGTCGGGCCATACGCTTGTTTGCCACCATTTCAACATAAAAACAACTTATAATTTTTATTTTTTAAGCATGTAACTGCTCGATGTTTAAATCGAAGGAAAATATTACTAGAATAAATTCCACGCGGACCTGACAGCAGGCGGGACTCCAACCCGCACCCTTCGCTATCCGGGCGAATGCACTGACCAATATTATGCTACCGCGCCCCTGACGGCCGTGTCGAAATATCTCGAGCCTGTCTTAAGCTGCAAGGCAGCACCATCTCTTCACATTGTAGGTAGGATAGCGAAGGGTGTGGGTTCGGGTCCCGTCTGCTGCCTGGCCCGTGTTGAAACTTTTCTAGTAATATTTTCTTTAGATAAAAAAAAACTTGTTTAAAAATACGACGATAAGTCACCGGTCGATATAAATTTTGGTCCTTCGAGCCGGATCGGTGTTACCTGCAACTCGTCGATCTCCGCCTCCCTAAAGATCCAGTCCTTGGTCTCCACGTCGCTGATGATTGCGTTCCTTTTCATCATGTGGCGCGGGAACTGGTCCTTCTCCGCTATCTGGTTCCATGCCCGAGCATGACGCATCCTTTTGAATGAGAATGTTTATGAAATTTTTGACGAGCTCCGTGGCCGAGTGGTTTGTACGCCGGGTTTCATAGTGTCGCCTTCTCGAGAGGTCCCGGGTTCGAATCCCGGTGATGAGATGTTTGTGTGATGAACACGAGCAATTTGTACTCCAGTCATGGATGTTTAATATGTATAATATTTCTATATAAATATACTTAAATATGTACAGTATATGTATTCTATCCGTTACCCTAGTATCCCATAACACAAACCTTACAGTGCTTACTTTGGGGTTAGGTTAATTGGTGTGAGTGTTGGAAATATTTATTTTATTTACCACAGTGACGGGAGATCTTTTGTACAGTTTAACCAAGATCTTCTTGCACTTTTATGACATTGACAGGGCCCTGCTGGTAAAATAAGAACTATCTGTCTGTTTCATACATTCAGTATAGTTAGATTGAAAACGCTGTCGGCACATCTCGACACACAAGCAAAGTTCTCACCGTGCTAAATGGAAACCGATCGCGTCACAACATAAAACGACAGATAAGTATATTTGAGTATTTCACATCATCATCACCAGCCTATTATTGTCCACACTGCTGTGGCACTGGCCTTCCTTATGGATGGAATAGGGAGATTGGGCCATGACCCACCCCGCGAGCCCAGTGCGGATTAAAGACTGCAGATGCAGCCGGTACCAACGGCTTAACTAACTACCAAGCCTTCCGAAGCACGGAGGACCTCGAGATAGTTATATAATTTATTTATTTATTTTATTGCGAAAGTTGCTTAACTTCAACGATCGCAGCGGAACGCGCTAACCACTTGCGCCATCGAGCTCCTCATTTGAGTATTTAAATTGATCCAAAGACTATGAAAACATATGCGATTCGACGGTTGAGTAGACCTTTCGTCTTAGTGCTGTCACCTGGTGCCCGTCATTCCAGAAAACCCTAATTGCAATAAAATTAACAGTTAAGACATTAGTATTTTATGTTTTGCTAAATACAGCGTGGAAGATATATAAACGACTAGCGGCCCGCCCTCGCTTCGCTTCGGTGTAGAGCTGAAGTGTAGACTACAGTTTTTGTTCTCAAGCTTGTATTATACACAATGCCATTCATATATGATTCTTCTTATACCTGCATGCAAAGTCTCAGCCCGATCGGTTTAAAATTGACAAAGTTTCATACAAACTTTCATTCCCTATTTTTTCCCCTTGGGGGTAGAATTGATCAAAATCCTTTCTTAGCGGATGCCTACGTCATAACATCTACCTGCATGCCAAATTTCAGCCCGATCCGTCAAGTGGTTTGGGCTGTGCGTTGATAAATCACTATGTCAGTCAGTCACCTTTGAGTTTTATATACATAGATATAGATTAAATAACGTGTGGAAGATTCCTGTATAAATGATATGACATACTTTTTATTAGAGTATTTTACTTACTTGTTTATGATTTCGGTGGTGTGAAAATCAGCCGGGAGATCGCCCAAGCGATATGGGCTGCCCGGACCTGAAAAGGGGTTTTTAAACTGTTTTATAATATGAAACGTATTATAAGTATTGTTTTCGTATTTTCTCACGGAGTTCTGCGGCATCTTGACTATTCAACGGTCCGCGCGTGACTGTGAACCAAGAAGTGCTAGAGTGGTGTTCAAGCACTTCTTGATCGCGACACAATTTTGAGCGCACATGGGTTATCTAATATCGTCATCCACGATACTCGCTTAACGGTATTTGCTCAGCGATTCTCGCTCAGCGATACTGGTTCAGCATTAATATGATGAGTCCGTATCGCTGAGCCAGTACCACTGAACGAGTTTCACTGAGCGAGTATCGTTTGGCCAGTATAGCCGAGCGACTACCGCTGAGGGTTACTTGCTGAGTCAGTATCGCTAAGCCAGTATCGCTAAACCAGTATCGCTAAACCAGTATCGCTAAGCGAGTATAGTTGAGCGGGTATTGCTGAGCTAGTACCGCTAAACGAGAATCTCTGATCCATTATCGCTGATCGAGTACCGCTAAGCCAGTATCTCTGAGCCAGTATAGCTGAGCGGGTATGGCTGACGGATACTCGCTGAGCCATACTCACGCGATTCAGATACACTGCTTCAGGTTGGTCGTCTGCCTTCCTAACCCGAGACCGGTGAAGATAGATAGATATATAATAACAAACCCCACTGCATCTGATCCAGGTACAATACTTCAGGGGTGTTGACGCACCCGTCGGCCGGTTTCGCGTCCGGCTGCCACGGGGTCGTCTGCGCTGACGACTCCCTGAAACGACATCAGATCTTAGATTTAAATGGATTAAAACAAAAAGGGAATATACGGTATGCACGCTCTTACTAACATCAATAAAATATGCTTCGACACAACTATATAAGCAACTTTCACACACGCACACTTCTGTAAATAAACATTCAATCAAGCGAGCGAGACAGAACTGTACGCTTCAACGCAGCGCGAGCGAAACGGCGAGTCCGCGTCGCTTGGCAGCCTACTGCATTTTCTTTTCTGTCTACAAACGGCTGAGCTGTATACATAGACACAGATACACACACACTTACACTCCTAAAAAACTATACCTTCATATTTTTACACTCACGCATTCACTGATCAGACACCTTTTAGTCTTTTAACAACATCCATTAAATTCTGCTTAAACTCTGCTAACTCAGCCTTACAGTGCTTGCTTTAGGCAATTTGGCATGAACGAATAATATTTAAATTATTGTAGCTCTAAAGTAACAATAGTGGGGAGAGCACTGTCTTCTGGTCCTCAGGGTAACCTTTTCCAGAGGGCAGGGTTCACATTATCATGTACGAAAATGTAGTGGTTCCAATAAATTATTGTTATTGGTAAATGCTTTGAGGGTAGGCTAATGAGGGCTATCGCTCATAAATCCGCCGCTAAAGGCGCTAGTATAGCGTGAGCTTTCCGAAATCTCAAATGTTATATAATATACTTGTGGGTTGACTACGCGGGTTTATTTCTTATTATAATAATGTTGTGAATATTTGGTAATAACTCAGATTTGTTATGGCAAATATGATTAATGTGGTAATGAATGTCAGTTACTTAAAAGGAGAGCTAAGAAAAAGTATTATGTCCTCCTTTTTTCCGAACAAACAGGGCTTGAAACCGGTTTCAAAAAAACGGTAAATAAAGATTAATACCGGTTTTTAGTAAAGGTTTCGTTCCGAGCGTGTCCGAAATGAAAGCGGTGCCTAAAAACGTATTTAATCCAGAGCGACACGTGCACGCACTGCACGCGTCGGCATCGCTTGAAGTTTGTTTGTTTGAACTAATTAAGTCACAACTTGTTAATGCTCATAGATTGATGCATTTATTGACACGTTTGCTGGCGTCTAGTGAGTCAAGTTATTCATTTTGTAGTTGTGTATTTATTTCAGCCGTCAGTAAGAGCGAAAAAGAACCCTTTCCTAACCGCTAAATTGATTCAAAACCTATTTGATTTCGCTTTTTAGGAAAACCGGTTTTTTAAAGTTAAGTACAGCCAAACCTAAATAAAACGCTCCTAATGTACTTGACACTGATTTAGGTTGAAAATTAACCGGTAAACAAGCCCTGCGAACAAAACGGAACTGCGGAAATAAAATCATAACTATTTTAATAAAAAAGTACCGTTTCCAAACATAATCGGCCATGGATTATGTTTAAGATACGGTTCTTTTGTATTAAAATATGATTTAAATTTAAACATTGATTTCACGCGCGTATTATACGCATATAAACTTTAGAAGTTACAGTTCAGGACCACACTCAACAGTGGCGCCATCTGGTGAGACAGAAAACGCTAGCCCCCATTGGTGTGAATGCTGGAACTATTTCTTTTAATTTACAGGTACACATACTAAATACCTGAACAAACTCTGCGTGGCTCGGTTCCTGGGTTTGAGCGGGCCTCGCTCGTGGGGCAGAGGCGATGGCGGGTGGAAGTCGGGAGATGACTTCTGCAGAGCCAGAACTTTCTTCGGCCTGTACGAATTAAAAATAAAATATATAGCTAATGGTGTCAATTCTGGCGTAATTATCTAAACTTAAAACTAAATTTAAGGTCAGTCTCACCTTTTCATTCTGTAAAGAGAAGGACAAGGATGCACTGTTGTCAAATTTATGTTTAACTTTAGAGAATCATGCCAGAATCGACATTAATGTGTTCTGTATGCTTAGTACGAACCAATATCGAATTCGAATAGTTTGCGAGTGCAAACTTGTTGGTGGCGATTCTCGCATGATTCTCTTAACTTAAAATTAAAGTTAACATCAGTCTCTCCTTTTCATTCTGTATAGAGAATGACAAGGAGAACCTGTATTCAAATTTAGTTTTATGTTTAGAGAAACATGCCAGAATCGACACCATTGTCGAATTTTGTATGGAAACTTAAACAGTAGCGCCATATCGGACGTAACGAGAACTAAAAATCAGTACACATTTGCCGTATAAAACACAGATCGGATTCAACTATTTGAATTCGATATTGGTTTGTGCTAAGGGTACTGAAGTGATGTTCTGTAAGGACACGAAATTTTCACACGCGGATCCGTACCTATCTGAACCGCTATGATCGGACTGTTGCAGTGCTATTCTGTAAAATTGTCACGCACGGGTTATAAATTTTGTGTCAATAGTCACGCGCGGGTTATAAATTTTGTGTCAATTGTCACGCTCGGGTTATAAATTTTGTGTCTTTACAGAATAGTACTGTTGTTTTATCTAATGATGGTTTCATAGTAAAACGCCACTACAGATACTTCACAGAACAAAATATAACGGAGAAGTGAGAGTCGTACTGCATAACCGAGGGTTCCATACTTTATAGATACGCAACATATATACTCCCGTATCTCTTTTAACGTTAACTCGGAAGTTAGATTTTTTCACAACTTAAAGGGAATGCGGGCCTAATTTTCAACTCGATGTCTCTACGCATTCCCGAGATAAAGGGTCTTGACTGACAGACAGACAACATGGTGATCATATAAGGATTCCGTGTTTTCTTTAACCCTAAAAAAGAATCTTTTTCCACACTTTATTCATTAAAGAGCAGCGTAGACAGCGTAGACTCTAGAAATGAGTAAAAGCAATCAATACGTACACGAATTATTGGCCGCACGATCGCTTCGTCTCTGTCCAGTACAGGCGCGGTCCATCGAGTCGAGGGCTAAAGCCTAGTTTCGTAGGTAACTAATAAGATGGTCATCTCACATGGCACGGTGTATTTTAAACCAGTCCAATCATGATTGAAGCTGGTGCAGCGAACAAAATGTTCCCTTATCTTTGGCTTAATTGTCTTCACTGTTGGCTAGCAAGTTAGCAAAACAACGTCAAGAATTGCTCTTGTAGTTCACGAGTGCGATGGCGGGAATCCGGAAAGTTAGTAGTAGTAGTTACTAAAAAGGCAGTGGCACGGTAATATTATCTATAAATATTACCGTGGCAGTGGTCTCATATAGTGGTGTATTTGTACGTACCGTACGACGGTCCATATAGGATGGCAAGCGGCAGTTCATTACAATAAGCCAGTTTTTTTTGTTAACAAGTTTTCAAAATTGATGTCCAACATGGGATATATTTTTATTTAAACATTAAACTACTAGAGAAAATTTTACTAGAAATAAATCGATATCCCGTCCCGTCCCGGCTGTTGCCTGGTCCGCGTGGATTTTTTTCTAGTAATTTTTCTTTAGATTTAAACATAGGACATCTTATTAAGTATATATTTTGAAAATGAGCTTGTTTGGTAGTAGACAAAAGTAATAATAATAATATTTGTTTGTAACAAATTCTGAGAGAGTTGCGGCGGACTATTCGCAACAAACCTATCCGCTAGCGGCTGCAGTCGCCCGCGACGAGTCATTTAGTGGATAAGATCCAAGACAGTTTTTTTCAGTGTGTATGCTTGTTTAGTGACGGCGAGATCCTAAGGGGACCACAAGCCGAGAATTGGCGAGTGCCTCTAGAGGTATTCCAGGCGGATGGCATCTCCCCACGGGGGGAGTCTCCTCTTTATCTGGAGCCTCTAGACCACTCGAAGCTGAGGGGGTCGGTTCAACTAAAGGGCGTCTCTGAGACTCGGATCTCGGCTCTAGTTAGCCGTTGTCGTGGGGGGCGGGGAAAAACGCCCAGGTACGTACCTGTACCTGGTATAGCGTGTTGTGTGTAGACCGGGTCTTAACACTCTTATCCTACGGATGCGGTGTCTGTCTAATGCTAAGCTAGTGTGCAAGTATGCTAGCTGTGTAGTGTTGGTGCTTGTGGCCTATGTGGGAGGAGTCGGAGGTGCGTTGGCGCGGGTGATTTTGTCGTCGCGGTACTCTTAAGACGTGCCTATGCCGACGAAATCGGAGGGATCCAAGACTGTGGGCTCACATTGCGGTGTACTTGAACCGATCCCTGCCGTCAGTGTGAGGCACGGGCGCGGCGCCAGCGAGCTGTACGCGCCGTATGTACGCGTTGTACGAGCGGTCCACGTGGGAGGGGAGGCGGCAGTTGGCGTAGTACACTAAACATAATTTATTCACATTGAGCCACTGGTGGCAGCCACTAGTGACTCAGCAGCAGCCACCGATCGCCTCCGCTGCTGGCTTAGTGGCGGTCACTCGAACGCTTAGTGTCGCCGCACACAGGCCATACGCTACAGCCACAAACGCCGCCACAAGATGCTAGAAGCGGCTGCAATAGTGGCTGAAGACAGCGGACGACTAAGGTAAGGGAGAGGGGGGTGGGGCGCGCGAGTGACGTGTGGCGGCGTTTTGTATCGGCGCATTAAGTGGCCGGTGCGGGCCACAAGAAGTGAGCAACGACGATTTGTAGCGTGTGACGGCCACCGGCGTACCGTGTGTGGCGAGTCCATATAAAATGTATGATAACTACATGAAATATGCCGGTGGCGACGTTTTGTGGTTGTGGTCGGTGGCCCGTGTGCGGCGACACTTAGTTTTCGAAGATAATATAGGTAGATACAAAGTGTATGAATTAACTCGACCGCAGCTTCTGGGCGCGTTTAAAGTATCACAAAATTAAAGGTCTGTTTTGACATTTGTGCGCCCATGTTTCAAGTTTCATATTCGAAATTTGTTCTAAACTTGAAAATAAAAATGTACTCCATTGCCATAACAGACGTGAAACACACCAATTAGCCTAGTCGCAAAGTAAGCACTGTAAGGCTTGTTTTATGGGATACTAGGGCACGGTAATATTATCTATACAGTATTCTATCGTCATACAAACGGTCGGAAAGCGGAAAGAGGTATGTCATACCTACGCCACTCGAGTTCGCGCGGCACCCGGTGGGCATCCAGTCGCGAATGCGCCGCAGCGACGACCGAACGGTATCAATAGTTTTTAAGCAGTTAGCCGTGCGTGCTTAAACGTTTGTATTGTGAATATTTGATTGAATTAAGTAGATACCTACATAATTTAATATGGCAAAGAGCAATAGTCGATATTGTGCTGGTTTTGGTTGGTTGAACTCTTCAATAATTAAACTATTTATACGAATGCGTATTTATAATAATAAAGCTTTTCGTCCGTCTCAGTCGAGGCGTAAATATTTTTCTGTCTCAAATCTATTTTTTTTCTTATTAAATATAACACTTAAAATAACATGAATTTTATGTAACACCCCCTAACTCATTCACATTTTTTTTACATATGAAATAAAATATTTAGAATCACAAAACAAGAAAGAAACTCAATTACGTAGATGAAATTAAAATACTGTAGGCGGGCAAACCTACCGCGTGGATACGCCCCGCTCGGCCGTAGGCAGTTATTTATTTCAAGGACAGGGCCGAGTCACAATACTGTATAGATAATATAACCGTGACTAGGGTAACGGATAGAATACATATACTGTACATATATAAGTTTATTTACATAGAAATACAAGTTAAACATCCACGAGTAGAGTACAAATGCTCATATTCATCACGCAAACATCTGACCCCACCGGGATTCGAGCCCGGGACCTCTCGAGTAGGCGACACCATGAAACACGACGTACAAACCACTCGGCCACAGAGGTCGTCGAATTAATAACTATAAATACTTACCGACATGCATCCGAGGGTATCTCGTGCAGTCGGAGAACATTGTCTTGTACACTGGCTGGATTCCCTGTATGGGCAATAAGACGGGAAGTTAAATAGTGCCACATATAGTGCGATTCAAATAAGAATAGGAAAGCCAATGACCTCCATCTGTCAAAAGTCGCTTGAAAAGTACGGTTTGCAAATAATCTTGGAACGCTTTTTTAGCACTCGGCTAATTCTAGAATAAAAACCAAACATTTGTAAACAAACAATAACAAATATTGGTAATTAATATTGTTTGATATTTTTTTCATATTATTGAGCTTTGGCTATGAATGGATGATAACCTAAATCGTCAACCAAATATCACTTTAAGTTGCGTTCAGAAACTCGATTTAAAACTTTCGTTTACATACAGGATGCATGTTTGTATGTGACCTAGTAATAGTGCATGATTATTCATAATTAATCCTGCGGAAATGCAGAGATGATCGGAATTGAAGAGCTAGGTTCTGATTAAGGTTTTTTCTCACACAGTCTTAATTTATAAATATTATTCAAAATCGGTTGTTTTTTTTCTCAATCTTAGTACTTAAATAAATTTTATTAAAAAAATATGATGTTTTTTCTCACTTCATCTTAATAAATAAATTTTATTAAATAAAAACTTTTTTTGCTCACTCTAGCTGTTTGGTTTGAATTGACAGCTATGAAGTCACAATATGGCGCCCAGTCGGTCCTATTCTTAGTTGAATCGCATTATCTAAGTTGTCACCGTCCATTGTAACTGTGGCCACAATTCTAACGCGTACAAAGAAATTTGGTGACTCATTTCTTTGTCACGCTTAAAATGTATCCCAATCAAGAAGTGCTTGAACAACAATCAAGCATTTCCGCCGTAACTTCGTTTTTTATTTTAATCGTAGGGATGGATTGACTAATAATAAGTCTCTATCTAGGACGTCCACGTGGCAGCTTTATTGCGAAGAAAATGCATTTTTTTTACAGTAGATGTCGCTAGGTGCGCTTAAGGGTGATTCATGTAAGTTGATTTCTTTACAATAGCTGCGACACCGGCTACAAGGGCGACGGGTGAGGACATTAACCTTTTTGTGTATATGTTACCGGCCAAACCCGATTTCAGGTACAGACTTACAAGTTGGGCTGATGCCATGGCTGCTTTGAACGCAGTGCGCGCGTAATCCCTCGCCCCGGACACTATAAACGCTGAGTCTGGAAAACAAATATATAATCCTTACAATGCGTTAATAAATAAAAAATCGTTTATTTATAAAAAAAAACGAGTTTGCTTATAGCCACACGGCTGAAGCGAAACTTCTTTTGCTTCGGCTGTATGAATATAATTTATATATTGTACGGGACGCCGGGCTGTCGCAGTAGCGGACAGTTACCGACTCGTACTGAGGGGGTGGAGGAAGTTACACGCAGGAGTCTTGACTGTAGTGGACTGTAGTTTCGGCGAATAAAACCCCTGGTGTTCGGTATTGAAGAAATCGGTGGGCGCTGATAATGGATGGCCGGTGAGAGGAGGCTTCAGGTCCAGAGTGAACCGCTTGGTTGTTTCTTCCTGTTCCTTAGGGTAGGAGCGCCTGTCGCTGAATGCATGTCGGGGCATGTTCCGACTCGAATTTTATATGCTAGGACTGAGCTGGCCAGCGATCCATTACCTCACCCACGCTATACTTTATTTTTCATTTTCTCAAGATTTACAATAGTGCGAGCTTAAAACTAATTGTACATACATCGGGCATACATTTGGGCATATTTTTAACATAGTTATGTGTCCGTAAACACGATATTTTAGGTGTGGCGCGCAAAAAATAGGTCTCCGCAATATTTATACTTTCCCCCTCCATAGGGCTTCGCCCTGCCACGGGGCTTCGCTGCCCCACCCGCGCGCTCCGGGCGCGCCGGGTGGGGAGCGCAACATGTCTCAGAAAACGGTTCTATACAAACATGTTTCTTCTCCTACACAGTACATTTTTACACTTATTGATGCGATACCTATTTATTTACGTAGCCCCACGTGTTACCTATCTAATACAACAAGTTTCTTACAAGAATATTAATAAACAACAGCTGTACGGCCCTATAAAGTTTACAAATTAAAAAGTCTTAAAAAACCTACTTATACTCGCTTAATGTCTAATTATCATACACCATTTTAAAGAAGAAGTAAAAACACATAAAATGACATCATTATTATAACAATTATACCTATATCTTATTGACTATTCATAAAAAACTATTCCCGATATTTTCCTTAATTACGCTTAAACTACTAACACGATTCATACAAAACTTCGATATATTATTCCTATAACTACCTACTATCTAATAAGACATAAAATAAATCAATCAAAACATAAAACATACTATTATCGAAAATCATCAACTCAGGCAAAATCCTATAAGACGTGTGACAAGGACAACCTATTGTCTCCGTCCCTCCTATAGGTCGGAACTATCAGTATTCTGACTAGTTTCCCCGCGCCACCGCTTGGCGTCGTGGCGATCGTTTAGATAAAGTCTTATAAGATTATTGGAGAGAACGGGGCGGAATATCGCTCTGAACTATCAATTTTACAATGGTTTACTATGGGCAGAGCTATCTATTGTTGCGATATCCGACTCATTCTAATAAGACAACAAGGGAATGATATTTTTAATACGTATACAACTAATTCATGTGAAATTATAGATACATTTTTATACATTGTTCTCGTATCGTCGTAAGTTCATTTTCTCTCGCTTCGGTCGTCGCGTACATACTCCCGCCGTGCAGCGTCGGTTGACTCGTCGCTGCATCCATCTTCCGTGGGAGTGGCGGCCGATGCGAATATCACCAGTCGCTTGGTCGGTCTGCGTAGCACTCCTCCGGCTGTCTTCAGATCGACGACTCGTACTGTGCCGTCTCGCCCGGGAAAAGTGGCGATGACGACTCCCTTGGGCCACGTGTTGCGTGGCAGGTTGCTGTCGGCGATGAGCACGATGTCCCCGATGGCGATGGTCTTCCCGGTCCCGTGGGGCTCCCGCCGGTGTTGCAGCTCGGGTAGGTACTCTCGTACCCAGCGCGCCCAGAAGTGGTCCGCGAGGCGCTGTGCTGCTCTCCAGTGCGGGCGGCCTATCAGGTCGCTCTCGTCGAACTCGCCCGGCAGTGGGACGCGCGCTGAACCTCCCAGCAGAAAGTGGTTGGGAGTGATGGCTTCGTCGTCTTCATGGTGCACGGACACGTGGGTGAGAGGCCGGCTGTTCACGGTGTATTCGGCCTCGGCGAGTAGCGTCGTAAGTACCTCTTCGGGCGGACTTCTTTCTTGCAAAACCGCACTTAGCGCGATTTTGACGGACTTCACGAGGCGTTCCCACGCCCCGCCCATGAATGGTGCTCCCGGCGGTATGTACCTCCACCGGATACTGCGGATGCTTGCTTCTTCGCTCGTCGCCTGCTGCACTGCCTTCTTCATTTCGTTTTCTGCGCCGTGGAAGTTGGTCCCGTTGTCCGACCAAATTTCGGTAGGGCACCCGCGGCGCGCTATCATGCGCCGTAGTGCGTGTATGGCGGAGTCCGTCGATAGCGAGGCGGCCAACTCGAGGTGCACGGCTCTCGTAGTAAGACATGTGAAGAGCGCGACGTAGCGTTTTTCTTGACGCCTGCCCACGGTGACTGTCAACGGCCCGAAATAATCCAATCCGGTGTACGTGAATGGCCGTCGGTGATGAGCGAGGCGCGTCGGCGGCAAATCTCCGGTAGGTGGCGACGGTGGCGCCGCCCTCCTTATGCGGCAGTTTATGCAACTGCTTATTATTCGTTTCGTGACGGGTCGAATGCGTAGAATCCAATAGTGTTGTCTGCACTCGTTGACTGTAGTTTCCACCCCGGCGTGGAGAAGGCTTCTATGTGTGTGTTCTATCCACAGTTGGGTGGCTCGATGGTTCCCGTCGAGTATCGCCGGTGTCTTCTGAGTTTCGGTTACTCCCGCCGCTGCGTTGACCCGGCTTCGTAGGTATAACACGCCGTCGTTGACTATTAGCGAAAGTGGGCGGAGTCGACTATTCGTAGCGATGGTGGCGCCCCCTCGCAGTTGTTTCAACTCGTCTTGAAATGCGTCGTGTTGTATTACGCGAACTATTATTTTCTCTGCGCGTTCGATGTATCTTCGGTCGATTGCGATGAATTTTCTTTCTTGAACGGTTGGCGTCGTTTTCTTCTTATGTGTCGGCGCCGATTTTTGATTTTTCTTCCAGTCGGGTTCCTTTTCGTTTTTCTTTCTTCTGTAGTTAATTCGGTCGGTTTTCGCTTGGCAGAGGTCGATGAACTGTAGTACTCTTGCCGTAGTCCGAATTAACTTGTCCCAGCGCGAAAATCGAGTGACGTCCGGTGCAGCTTCGGATATTGACGGCGCTTCCTTCGTGCTTATGTGGTGCACGCGTTCTTCCCCGGTGACTTCGGTTGCGGTTGCAGTTTCGGCGGGCCATTCTTCTTGTTTGTTTCGTAGAAACGGAGGCCCGGTGAACCATCTGTGGTAGCCGTAGAAGTCGTGTGGTGATATTCTTGTGGCGTCGTCTGCTGTGTTGAGCTTCGTGGGCACCCATCGCCACTCGTTGATGGTGCTGAGTTCTTCGATGGCGGCTATGCGATGCGCGACGAATGGCTTGAATGAGCGCGATCCCGTTCGCACCCAAGACAATACTGTTTTGCTGTCTGTCCAAAATGTCTTCGATTCTGGTTTTCTTGAGTGCTCTTCTATCACGGTGGCGGCCATTCTTGCTCCCAGGACTGCGGCTTGTAGCTCGAGGCGCGGTATTGACGTGACTTTGAGTGGAGCCACGCGTGCTTTCGCCGTGATGAGTGTCACGTCGACTTGACCTCCCGGCGACTCGGCCCGCCAGTAGAGTGCGGCGGCGTACGTGGTGGCGCTAGCGTCCACGAAGACGTGCAGCTGAAGTGAAGTGGCTTCGCTGTATCCTATGTAGGCTCGTGGTACTTTGACGCCTCGTAGGTCCTTCATGTGTTGTAGCCAGGTCGTCCACTGCTCTGCGAGGTCGGTGTCGATTTTCTTGTCCCATTCTGTGCCGCGTCGCCAAATTTCTTGTATGATCTGTTTTCCCCTGACTGTGACTGGTGATGCAAGTCCCATTGGATCGTAGATTGACATCACAATCTTCAAAACTTCTCTCTTCGTGGGTGCCTTATTTGCAAGTAGGTCCGATGGGATGCGCGCCAACTCGAGATTGAACCCCAATTCGTCCGATTGCGGGTTCCACATGAGTCCGAGTACTTTTTCTATTCTTGATCCGTCGTTGAGTGTTATTGGTTGTTGAACGCGTAGCGGTCCCTCGGTGAGTGCTTGCCTTATTCGATGCGAGTTCGACACCCAGTTGCGTAAGTCGAAATTTCCGTCGGCGTGTATTTTTCTTACTTGCGTCGACACTTCTATGGCTTCTTGTTCCGTTGTAAAGCTGTCTAGGTAGTCATCCATGTAGTGCGCTTGTACTATGGCGTTGACGGCGGTCGGTTGCGTTTCTTGATATCGCTCGGCGTTCTTGTTCTTGACGAAAATAGCGGCGGCTGGTGAACACGTAGCGCCGAAGATGAGTGACTTCATTCTGTATTCTTCCGGTGGTCCCTCTCTTCTTTCGCCGCGCCATAGGTACCGCAGTGCATCTCTGTCTTCCGGTCGGATCCCCACGCGCATGAACATTTCGGCGATGTCGGCTGTCACGGCGTACTGGTGTTGACGGAATCGCATCATGACTCCTATCAACGATCGAAGTAGGTCCGGCCCGGTGAGAAGGCAGTCGTTGAGTGAGGTGCCTCCGGTCTTCGCAGCTGCGTCGTGTACGATGCGTAACTTGTTTGGCTTCAACGGGTTGATGACTGGAAAATGCGGCAGGTACCAAGTTCTGTCTTCTGTTGATGTCGGCGGTGCTCGCTCGGCGTATCCCTTTTCGATGAGCGCGTCCATTTGTTCTATGTATTTTCCCCTTAGGCGTGGATCGCGGTCGATTTTCTTCTCTGTGGTGAGCAGCCGTCTGTACGCATTTTCATAATTGTTGGGCATCTTGATGTCTTCTTTCTTCCAGAGTAGCGCGGTTTCGAATTTTCCATCTTCTTTTCTGTGGGTGTGTTCTTCTAGCATCTTGATGGCTTTCTCCTCTGGATCGGAATGCGGTTTTTTCTTTTCGATGTCGATTGATTCCAATGCGAAGTG